ATAATCAGAATCGAACGGGCGATAAATTCGCTCCCCGTAGTTCCCGATGCATATTTGTAGGCTATCCCGCTGGGCAGAAAGGATGGCGTCTGTTCAACCTCGAGACAAATACATTTTTTGTTTCCAGAGATGTCATTTTTTCAGAAAATGAATTTCCACTGTCTGAAAAATCGACCACTTCAGCTCCAGAGCTGTCTCCTCCGATTTTCTCGGACGAGGAAGATCAACAAATGTCCCTGCAACATCCAGTTCCGTCTGTGCCAATGATTCCGCCATCTCCTACTAATGCGATGCTGAATCCGATTGCTGCAGAATCACGAGAACAACAGGTTCAATCTCCATCTCCGGATTCTGGTTCCTCGCCCAGCTCTGTTAATCCCGAATCCTCGAATGATACATCCCTATCTGTGTCTTCTTCTGCGCAACCTGCACTTGGTCGAGGACAGCGTCAACGATTTCCAAATGTTCATCTCCGAGATTTTGTTACCAACTCTGTGACAGTGGGAACTGCTGCAAAATTCCCACTGGTCGACTCTATCTCCTATGATCTCATTCAACCACAACATCGGGCATTCCTCGCTGCTATCACGTCACATGATGAACCGCGATCTTACTCTGAAGCTGCCAACGATCCTCGGTGGCAACAAGCCATACAGGATGAACTTTCTGCGCTCGTACGGAATCAAACCTGGAATCTCGAACCATTGCCGGCGAATAAAAGGGCTATCAGATGTAAATGGGTATTCCAAAACAAGTATAAATCTGATGGAAGCATTGAGCGCCACAAAGCTCGTCTGGTTGTACTTGGCAATCGTCAAACGGAAGGTGTGGACTATAACGAGACGTTTGCTCCAGTCGCCAAGATGGTAACCGTGCGTACTTTTCTGGCAGTTTCAGCAGCTCGGGATTGGGACATACACCAGATGGATGTACACAATGCCTTCCTTCACGGAGATCTCGATGATGAAGTTTATATGAAACCTCCACCGGGTTTTCTCGTGTCTGATCCGACACAGGTCTGCAAGCTTCGGAAATCTTTGTACGGGCTTAAACAAGCCCCCAGATGCTGGTTTGCTAAACTCACTGCGGCACTTACCAGGTTCGGTTTTGAACAGACGCAATCTGATCATTCTCTCTTTGTCTTCGACAGAAACAGCGTTCGCCTTCATGTCCTTGTGTACGTGGACGATCTTCTCATTACTGGAAGTTCGATCCAGGCCATTGAAGCTTTCAAGAATTACCTCGGAATCTGTTTCCACATGAAAGACTTGGGTCTCCTCAAGTATTTTCTCGGAATCGAGGTTGCACGCAACTCCTCGGGCATCTCTTTGTGTCAACGAAAATACACTCTTGACCTGATTGCGGAGACGGGACTGCTTGCTGCTAAACCTGCTCACTTTCCGTTAGAACAGAACCATCGCCTAGCTGTTTCTGACAGTGAGATTCTTCCTGATCCAGAGCCTTATCGCCGGCTGGTTGGGAAGCTACTCTATCTCCTCGCAACGCGACCAGACATCACCTATTCAGTCCACCTCTTATCTCAATTTATGCAGTCACCCCGACAGGATCATTGGTCAGCTGCTCTTCGCGTGATTCGGTATCTCAAACTTAACCCGGGCCAAGGTATTCTGCTACGATCTGACTCAGACCTTCGTCTCTACAGCTGGTGCGACTCTGACTGGGCTGGCTGCCCGAGTTCTCGTCGTTCTCTGTCTGGGTATCTTGTCCAGCTCGGCAACTCTCCGATCTCATGGCGCTCGAAGAAGCAGAGTACAGTCTCGCTTTCCTCCGTCGAAGCAGAGTATCGTTCAATGGCGGTTGCCACCTGCAAACTTATCTGGATCAAAGCTCTGCTCTCTTCTCTCGGTGTCCCTCATTCTGCATCCATTGTTCTTCATTGCGACAGCCAGGCAGCTCTGCACATTGCCGCGAATGATGTTTTCCACGACCGAACTAAACATATAGAAGTTTCCTGTCATTTTCTCCGCGCTCATTTCAAGTCGGGTCTGATTTGTTCTCGACATGTCTCAACCACCGAGCAGCTCGCCGACATTTTTACAAAAGCACTTGGTCGACGAGAGTTCACGGAGTTTCTTACCAAGTTGGACACACATAACTTGTATGCTCCATCTTGAGGGGGGTATTCGGGAGATATGCCAGATATGCCAAGATCTCGGATTATTCTGCAACAACCAAATTAAGGAAACATTGCATTGACGTTGCTGGATTCTTGGACGCTACATAACTGTATTTCCTTATCTCAATTCTAGGTTAGATCTGATTTGTCTGTATATATACCCTGTAAACAACTCTATCAATACACAGAAAAACATTTCATCTTCGAATCGAGCTGATACGTGTTACTAGACTAACGTAAAAGGAAAAGCAAATATAAGAGAAAAGGAAAATTATATATGTACATATAAGCATCGAGAGAATTAGGGGTTTGATGGAGGAAACTACCGAGTCTAGGATGTTCATTATCTATAGACAACTTTAGATCCAAGCCAGAGACCCTTCTTTGTTCTTGAAACTCCTTTTGACCAAGGGCATCTTGATGCTTCATTTGTATTCGCATCTCAAGTTTTGACTCTCATACCATGAAGATTTTTGGAGTGTTTGTGATATAGAGAAATAATATATGAATACGTATCAAAAGGAAAAATTTTGTAAGAGGAGAATTATCTCCATGATTTCTTCTATTCTTGTATTTATAATTAGTTTATATTCTTCCACATTCAAACTTACATACGCGTTAGACTCAAAACCATATTGAAAAGGATTATAAGCAAACCGAGAAGATCCTTGGAAGGAGACAATCTCATTTCCTCCTTTTTCTTCATGAGTTTCTTCATCCTTAAACGCATCAAAAGGCTCACAAAAATCTGGTTCTTCATCGGGGTTCTCCTTCGGGGTTCCAACCTCCGAAATCGAACCAAAAGTCTATGCTCTCTCTCTCCCTTACATAGGCTTCCATATCAAAGCCATAGGAGGACATTTTTTTTTGTGGTATTTTAACCTGAAATACTCAAAGGAAAATATTAGAAACAAATCAAAAGATAAATTGTACCTTTGACGAAGTTTTGATGCTCTCCTCTTCGGTTTAGCTTAGGCCGAGAGGGATAAAAGTTTGAGGGTATGTTCCCTGGATTTTGCAGCGGCTAAACAAAGATAAATAAGATAAAAACAATTACAAATACTTTAGCCCGAACCAGACTCTGGTACCATGAAGAAATTTATAAGATTGAAGGTATTTGTGACCGTAGACAATGATCAAGATATGAAAGAAAATGGTTTGAAGGATTGAAGAGAGAATAGAAAAAGAGTGAGTGAATAATACGTTTATTGTGTATTAAAACTTACAAAAGATGTTTACAAATATATAAGAGTCCTAGACTAACGTAAAAGGAAAAGCAAATTTAAGACAAAAGGAAAATTATATATGTACAATAATGTAAAATATAAAAATGGAAAGGAGTAGCCATTTGACTTTTGTTAGGTGATGATTTAGTGCTCCAACGGCTATAGTAATATAATCAGCATAATTTAGGATCCCTTGATTCATGTAAATAAGAAATATATCACACGAATCAAAGGCCTAAAGATAAACGATCATTATGAACCAAAATAGCATATTTGGATCTTCGGAGATTATGATTCAACATATTCCACCTAGCATCCTAAAGTAATCGAGCATCCGAATATAATATAAAGTCAATAATACAATTATACGTATCTAGGGACTAGGGTTCTTATAACCTAGGATTCTCACTCATGGTTTAGTCAAAAAATTCACGGTATACTTATATATATATTGAATAAAACACAATAGAAAATATTTTACCTAATACCAAACACTAACTTGACCACTGCAAACGAACGCGACGTCTTATCCTACATTTGTTATTTAATTATTCACGCGGATACGATTGTCTTAATCATAGCTTAGCTATATATATATCGCATTGATCGCCAATTAGGTATAATTGTTAATACAAATTTAAGTTTCGTTTAAACTACAATGATTTGCCACTGAACATGAATATCTCGTGGGGACATTCGATCTTTTCAACCAATGCGTCACGTTAAATGGAATCACTCTCTCTCTCTCATTCAACATATATTCAATAGATGTGAAATGAAATATCGGGGCCTGAACTAAAATTGGGTGGCTCAAACGGTAAAAAAGATAGCAAAATTCCTTCTAAATCCGTATTCGAATACTCACTTGAGGGTAATGATGCAAAACGGATCAGTTCAGACTAGATCGGACCAACTCGTTTTTCTCGTTAAGCCCGTTTTTATTCGCACCAAAAAATTCATGGTTCGGTCCAAATCGTCTAACTCGCGAGTGACTCGCGACCCAAATAAAAATAAAAAATATTTAACATAATAATTAATATATTTAAAATAATTAAAATTGACTAATCTTTTTTAAAATTATTAAAAAATATTAAAAATTAAATTAATTATTTTTCTGGTTCGCGAGGCAGTTCGTGGGCTTGCCGAACTGGCTCGCGATGAGTTTGGCTCGTGACGAGTTGGTTTGTTCGATATATTCTTTTCGACTCAAATTTTTTCAGTCCAGATCGAAAAAATGTGGGCTATTTCGCGCGTCGAGTTCATTTTGACATCCTAATTCGGGGGAAATATTTATATAGACGTTTCTAATCCTTTGGAAAATTAATATAGTTGGGTAAAATGCATTATAAGTTTTCATATTAAATCCTTCATATTCCAGTGGTGGGTCCATTTGTTGTCACGGAAGATGGAATATATGTGGCTAAGATTTCCTCTTGGAAGTTTGTTTGTTTGTTTTTTTTTTTTGTTAAACTTAAATTCTATTAATAAAAACGTGTTCTCTATATAGAGAGTAATTTAATTTCTCTCTAACAATGAGTGGTCGTTGCTTTGCGACCGGCCCGTATGAAATGCACGTGTTAATTATCTTCCCCCTCTCATCAGGTAGGGAATTTTAGACGTAAAAAACTCTAACGGGACCAAATTATTTCAAGGGGAGAGCTGTATAAATCATCATTCGAAACATTTGTTCATCGTACGCCTTAAAACCTGGTTTCATTTCCTTTCTCCTCTTCCATGGAATCAAGCAAGACTCTCCTGATATGTCCGACTAGGGATCACACGAGTGCAGCCTCTGTATATACACACACTATGCTTCCTTGTTTTATATTTGTAGCATCAAGATTTTACAACTGTTATAATAATATTCATCATGTGTACAGACGGAGCATGAGTCCAACATTATGAGGCTACGGAATATGCTCACTGCAAAGGGAGAGGATCCTTTCGAGGCAATGGAGATCATCGATGCTATTCAACGTCTATGCATCGACCATCACTTCCGGTATGAGATGGAAGAAATCCTGCAAAAGCTTTACCAACAGTGCAGTCGATACCAATATTACGGCCACGGCCTCCGTGAAGTTGCCCTTTGCTTTCGTCTTCTCAGACAGGCAGGTCACCATGTTTCCGCCGAAAGTAGGTCCTATCCGACACATTCAATGGCGTGTTTGAGATATATAGCATATATATATATATATATATATATATATATATTATACTCGTCATTAAACTTATAACACGGTAACGTTTGTGAACAATAGATGCGTTTAGCGGCATCCGAGACGAGAACGGAAGATTCCGAGGAGAGTTTCAGTATGACGTAGAGGGTTTGATTGAATTGTTTGAAGCCTCACAGCTAAGCACAGAGGGTGAAAAAACGCTTGAAGACGGCCGGGATTTTGCGGTTAATCAGCTTACAAAGCTTTGCTCGGCGGAAGAAAGTCACCGAGGGCGAGTCATAATGAATGTCTTGAACCAACCAAGCCACAAGTCCTTGTCAAGACTAACCGTCAATAGGTTCATAAGCATGACGAGCGATGACGGAGAGAACAAGTGGTTGCAACCGTTATTACAAGTGGCCAAGATCGATTTCGACATGCTCAAGGCATTGCACCAAGATGAAATATCTAAAACCTTGAAGTAAACATGAAACATGAAACTTCCCCCAAAGATATATGTTATATATAGTTTCGGAACCTATGTATTCATGCATGTAATGGATTTTTCAGATGGTGGAGAGAGCTGAGCTTGACAAAGGAACTGAAGAAGGCCAGAGACCAGCCTTTGAAATGGTACACATGGTCCATGGCAGTCCTCCAAGATCCGGGATTATCAGAGATAAGGCTCGATCTTGTGAAACCGATATCGTTTGTTTACATAATCGACGATATCTTCGATATCTATGGGGGAATAGATGAGCTAACCATATTCACACAAGTTATGGAAAGGTACTACACTATAGTACTACGTATATACACTATAAATTAGATCTACCAACCACCACGTGAAACTGATATATAATGGCTCCAAACAGGTGGGACCGTGATGAAGACAACCTCGTTGAGAAGCTACCAAATTACATGAAAGTATGCTTGGAGGCTTTAGACGTGGTGACAATGGAGATTAGCCTGAAGGTCCACAAGAAACATGGATGGAACCCCATCAACTCCCTTCGAAAATCGGTAAGCACCCTCGATCTTTCACAATGGCTTCGGATGTGCAATCGATCACCTCGTTTTTTTTTGGGTGCGCAGTGGGCGAGGTTGTTCAAGGCGTTTTTGGTGGAAGCGAAGTGGTTCGAGTCGGGTTACTTGCCAAGCAAGGAAGAGTATATCGAGAACGGGAGGGTGAGTTCAGGAGTGCCATTGGTGCTGCTTCATCTGTTCTTCATGTTGGGTGAAGAAACCACGAAAGAGAAGGTCCAACTCACTGATGAATCCAACCCATTGATCGTCTCTTCTGCTGCTACTATCCTCAGACTTTGCGACGATTTCGGAAGTGCCAAGGTCATATTCATTATATATATATATATATTGATCACATTCACTTCATATATATATATATATAATTCTTTTGTCACTGTACGAGGACAATTAGTCGGAAACTTGTCTGGACTACTAAATTATGAATTTATTCAAGTTCATTTTTTTTACAACTCATAGATATTTAAAGGAAAAAAAACATTGTTAGTTATGGTAATTATTTAAAGTTTATCATTACAATATATGTAATAAATTATAATTATTAGATACACTTGTTTAAAATAAATAAGTTAAAATCAATTCCAAAATTGCCATCACATCAGATAACTTTTCTACGCAATTTTAAGACAGTTTCTCTTTCCTCCTAATTGTCGTATTTAGACTCTTGTTTTGGTGTTTTATAGTTTTAAGATTATTAATTACTAGTCGACAACCTATCGTACGCATCCATTAGTCGCACGAATGCATAAGTCATAAGGGACCCCATGGATCGAGACTCATACTGATACCGGGATTGAGAGTAAGACATATAATTAGATTTTGTACTTTCCTCTCTAATTTAAGATTCAAACTCGAGACGGAACAAACGATTTGTGTTCACATCTCATCGGTTGAACTAATCGGATAATATATATATATATATATATATATATATATATATATATATATATATATGCGGTATAACTAATAAATTAATGGGCGTCTTGCAGGATGAAAACCAAGATGAGTATGATGGATCATACATGGAATGTTACATGAAACAGCATCAAGGATCAACAATTGAAGAAGCAAGAGCACATTCCCTCCAGATGATTTCCAACGCATGGAAGCGTTTGAACGAAGAGTGTCTGGATCCGAATCCATTCTCCGGTTCATCCTTCGCCAAAGCCTGTCTCAATGTCGCGAGGACGGTTCCCCTTATGTACACTTACGACGATGACCATCGTCTTCCCGGTCTTGATGATTATCTCAAGTCACTCATGTTGGACCATGCATGACTTTTACCTGATAAAAAAAATAACCAAAATATTATAATTGAACATATCATGTAATAATCGTGTTTGAATTCAATAAAGGTCGGTCTCAAAAACGCATGTGGGTATCGTTTTGTGGTCTTGGAATGTGTTGAAACGAAAACTGGCGAACAGTCACAACTCTGTAATAAACGAAAGTTCTTGAAGTTTTCTTACTTCGACCACATATTTCTTCCATTCTTGTAAAAGCGACCCCCAAGGAAAGAGACAGCGCATTTTGGTCCCAAGGCTCGAGTCTGAAGCCGGATCTCCGTCTTCCTCTCCTCAAGCTTTTCCATCACAGATTCCTGCAACGACATTTTCACAAACCTAATAACCATTAATTAACTTCTTTTTCTCTGTAATCAAACACGGTAATAATTTAAACTTCCCAGGATGAGGATTGCAAATTAACTGGTGGATCGTCGAAGAAAAAGCGAGTGCAACACGACCAGAAGAAGGTGTCACTTACCTGTAACCATATAGATTAATCCGCCATGGCTGAGAAGATCAGGTCCAATATCACTATCGAAGTTGTATGCTCTGTTTTCTATCACTGTGAGGTGAAACCAGGGTTCTTTCATCTCGGCATGGAGACGACCTGTCTTCTCTTCAAAAGTGTTTTTAAGAAGGAAGGTGATGGCACAATTGTAATTTACCACAAACGAGAGTGTGATATACACATTAAGGACCTTATATAATATTTCACAAGGTAAGGTTCATATCGACCAAAACAAAAAGTAGCAGTACCAGAGTGTGTCTCGTCTGCCATGGAAGAAGAATGAAGAAGAACAAAAAAGAAGAAACAGCAAAGAGAGCATAAAAATGCTCGGAAGTTACCAAATCTTCGACCCGATTACATCTCCAAAGACCCGAAGGCAGCCTATATACCGCAAATGCAGACCTCCTTCTTTGTTAGAAAATCATCAAGAGTGCATGCATTTGTTTTTCTGATTTTTCATTTTGAAAAAAAATAAAATTGATAAAAAGAAAATGATTGAACGAGATGATTTTGTGGGATAGAAGAGAGAAGGGAGATTTGTTTTTTTTTGTTTTTTGTTGCTGTGTGCAACACTGAGCCTTTTTTCTCTTTATTTATAAAATGCAAAGTAACAACCAAAAGATACGCATGAGTCCATACATGCTTAGGACTCGGGTGGTTATTAACAAACCAAAGAAAAATTCAAACGAAGAAAAAAATCCAAAATAAATAAAAACAAAACAAGACACGTGGAAACAAGATTAACTCTAACATTCCTAACCCGGGGCTTGTATTTTTATACAGGAAAACAATGGGAAAACAAACTCTAAGGGCCTATAAAAATGTAAAAGCTGTGTGCAATGACAAATCGGTATAAACAAACCAAAAATTGCTTAACCGAGAAATTTAACCGTTCCTCATGCGCCTTAAGTGATCCGGTAATTTCCTCGATAGACTTGGTCGTCAAATTTCCAAACTCCTCAATAGTTGATGCCAATTGGATGTATTTCGTAGAAACAGATCTAAGCATTTTTTTAACAACGTACCCTTCGTTGACGCTTTCTCCCAAAGCTTTTAATTTGTTAATTATCGTTGATACTCTTCCGGTGAACTCATCCACCGACTCGCTCTCTTCCATTTTGAGTCCTTCGAGCTCCCATCGTAGCGATTGTGCTTTGACCTCCTTTACTTTATCCGCACCATGATTCAACATCTTTAAGGCATCCCATGCTTCTTTTGCCGTTCTTTTTACTCCTATCTGTAACAGGGTCTCCTCACTTATGCCCTGACAGATTGCTGCACGAGTCATCTTATCTTTGCTCTTATCGACAGATCCCTCTAACTCGATCGCATCCCAAACACCTTGTGCCTGCATATAAATTTCCATTTTCATAGCCCATACCGTGTAATTTGTCTTTGTCAGGAGTGGGTATTGAAGAGACACGCTTCCTTCCTTTATCTTCGTTGTCTCAAGACCTTCACTTTGAATACCCTTGCCACTTCGAACGACACTCCTCGACGACTCTTCCATTGACATAGATTTCGACATGAACTATGAAAGGAAAAACAACAACCGTGGCTCTGATACCACTGTTAGAAAATCATCAAGAGTGCATGTATTTGTTTTTCTGATTTTTCATTTTGAAAAAAAATAAAATTGATAAAAAGAAAATGATTGAACGAGATGATTTTGTGGGATAGAAGAGAGAAGGGAGATTTGTTTTTTTTTGTTTTTTGTTGCTGTGTGCAACACTGAGCCTTTTTTCTCTTTATTTATAAAATGCAAAGTAACAACCAAAAGATACGCATGAGTCCATACATACTTAGGACTCGGGTGGTTATTAAAAAACAAAGAAAAATTCAAACGAAGAAAAAAATCCAAAATAAATAAAAACAAAACAAGACACGTGGAAACAAGATTAACTCTAACAATCACCTCCTTAATCTTGTTTCTATGTTTTCACCTACAGCAAAGTGGCCTCCTCTTCAACCTCTTCGACCAAATGAGCTTCGTCATCTCTCTGTTCTCTTGTTTTGCATTCAGAGGCGAAATGACCATATTTATGACACGCATAGCACATGATTTTGTTTATATCAAACCTTGGTTTCTCACCTCCTCGACCACGACCTCGTCCAAACGAACGACCTCTACCACGACCTCTTCTCCAGTCACCTTGAGCGAGGAGAACGTGTTCATCAGCTCTCGATTCACGACCCCTTAACCGTTCCTCATGCGCCTTAAGTGATCCGGTAATTTCCTCGATAGACTTGGTCGTCAAATTTCCAAACTCCTCAATAGTTGATGCCAATTGGATGTATTTCGTAGAAACAGATCTAAGCATTTTTTTAACAACGTACCCTTCGTTGACGCTTTCTCCCAAAGCTTTTAATTTGTTAATTATCGTTGATACTCTTCCGGTGAACTCATCCACCGACTCGCTCTCTTCCATTTTGAGTCCTTCGAGCTCCCATCGTAGCGATTGTGCTTTGACCTCCTTTACTTTATCCGCACCATGATTCAACATCTTTAAGGCATCCCATGCTTCTTTTGCCGTTCTTTTTACTCCTATCTGTAACAGGGTCTCCTCACTTATGCCCTGACAGATTGTTGCACGAGCCATCTTATCTTTGCTCTTATCGACAGATCCCTCTAACTCGATCGCATCCCAAACACCTTGTGCCTGCATATAAATTTCCATTTTCATAGCCCATACCGTGTAATTTGTCTTTGTCAGGAGTGGGTATTGAAGAGACACGCTTCCTTCCTTTATCTTCGTTGTCTCAAGACCTTCACTTTGAATACCCTTGCCACTTCGAACGGCACTCCCCGACGACTCTTCCATTGACATAGATTTCGACATGAACTATGAAAGGAAAAACAACAATCGTGGCTCTGATACCACTGTTAGAAAATCATCAAGAGTGCATGTATTTGTTTTTCTGATTTTTCATTTTGAAAAAAAATAAAATTGATAAAAAGAAAATGATTGAACGAGATGATTTTGTGGGATAGAAGAGAGAAGGGAGATTTGTTTTTTTTTGTTTTTTGTTGCTGTGTGCAACACTGAGCCTTTTTTCTCTTTATTTATAAAATGCAAAGTAACAACCAAAAGATACGCATGAGTCCATACATGCTTAGGACTCGGGTGGTTATTAACAAACCAAAGAAAAATTCAAACGAAGAAAAAAATCCAAAATAAATAAAAACAAAACAAGACACGTGGAAACAAGATTAACTCTAACAATCACCTCCTTAATCTTGTTTCTATGTTTTCACCTACAGCAAAGTGGCCTCCTCTTCAACCTCTTCGACCAAATGAGCTTCGTCATCTCTCTGTTCTCTTGTTTTGCATTCAGAGGCGAAATGACCATATTTATGACACGCATAGCACATGATTTTGTTTATATCAAACCTTGGTTTCTCACCTCCTCGACCACGACCTCGTCCAAACGAACGACCTCTACCACGACCTCTTCTCCAGTCACCTTGAGCGAGGAGAACGTGTTCATCAGCTCTCGATTCACGACCCCTTAACCGTTCCTCATGCGCCTTAAGTGATCCGGTAATTTCCTCGATAGACTTGGTCGTCAAATTTCCAAACTCCTCAATAGTTGATGCCAATTGGATGTATTTCGTAGAAACAGATCTAAGCATTTTTTTAACAACGTACCCTTCGTTGACGCTTTCTCCCAAAGCTTTTAATTTGTTAATTATCGTTGATACTCTTCCGGTGAACTCATCCACCGACTCGCTCTCTTCCATTTTGAGTCCTTCGAGCTCCCATCGTAGCGATTGTGCTTTGACCTCCTTTACTTTATCCGCACCATGATTCAACATCTTTAAGGCATCCCATGCTTCTTTTGCCGTTCTTTTTACTCCTATCTATAACAGGGTGTCCTCACTTATGCCCTGACAGATTGCTGCACGAGCCATCTTATCTTTGCTCTTATCGACAGATCCCTCTAACTCGATCGCATCCCAAACACCTTGTGCCTGCACGAGCCATCTTATCTTTTCTTACGTGCAATACTGCCCTTACCCTGTAACTGTTGAGATATATGAATAATATTATGAGATATATCACATCTTAAAGATTTTATCAAATCTATAAAATAGAGATTTGGAGAGATTTATGAATATTTGATGTAATCTTTACTTTATTTATTTAATTTGAGACTCTCATGTATTTATATTTATAGTTCATTTGATTATTAATAAAAGATCATATTATTCCGCAAATTTCTACAGTAACCGTATAGAACAGCCGCTTTCTTGAGACAAAATCCAGTTAATCCGCCATGGCTGAGAAGATCAGGTCCAATATCACTATCGAAGTGTATGCTCTGTTTTCGAACACGGTGAGGTGAAACCAGGGTTCTTGCATCTCGGCCTGCAGACGACCTGTCTTCTCTTCAAAAGTGTTTTTAAGAAGAAGAAGGTGATGGCACAATTGTAATTTACCACAAACGAGAGTGTGATATACACATTAAGGACCTTATATAATATTTCACAAGGTAAGGTTCATATCGACCAAAACAAAAAGTAGCAGTACCAGAGTGTGTCTCGTCTGCCATGGAAGAAGAATGAAGAAGAACAAAAAAGAAGAAACAGCAAAGAGAGCATAAAAATGCTCGGAAGTTACCAAATCTTCGACCCGATTACATCTCCAAAGACCCGAAGGCAGCCTATATACCGCAAATGCAGACCTCCTTCTTTGTTAGAAAATCATCAAGAGTGCATGCATTTGTTTTTCTGATTTTTCATTTTGAAAAAAAATAAAATTGATAAAAAGAAAATGATTGAACGAGATGATTTTGTGGGATAGAAGAGAGAAGGGAGATTTGTTTTTTTTTGTTTTTTGTTGCTGTGTGCAACACTGAGCCTTTTTTCTCTTTATTTATAAAATGCAAAGTAACAACCAAAAGATACGCATGAGTCCATACATGCTTAGGACTCGGGTGGTTATTAACAAACCAAAGAAAAATTCAAACGAAGAAAAAAATCCAAAATAAATAAAAACAAAACAAGACACGTGGAAACAAGATTAACTCTAACATTCCTAACCCGGGGCTTGTATTTTTATACAGGAAAACAATGGGAAAACAAACTCTAAGGGCCTATAAAAATGTAAAAGCTGTGTGCAATGACAAATCGGTATAAACAAACCAAAAATTGCTTAACCGAGAAATAGAACCAAGGGAAGTAAATCAAGCTTCACATACACGCAAACCAGAGATGTATAAGTGAAGAACATGGGAATGCAGCAGAATTCCATGAAGACCGCCTTCTGATATATAAGTTTTGATAATATACACGCATGAACAGATAAAACAATATATGAACTTGGGAATTTTTTATTGATTGGATCGTCTTGGAGATCTCATTATAAATAAACATATACGAAAGCTGACAAACGGTTTTCTTCCAAGCTTCTTCAATGCCACTCGTACCCGTAAAGGTTCTCGGAGTGACTTCTTCCGTCGTGACTGTACGGATATAGGTCTCCGAAAAGGTAATCTGAAGTCTTCTTCCATGGATCCAAATCGTTCCTTTCGCACCAAGAAACGGTGCTAGGGTTTCGTTCTTCGTTGCATCTTTGCTTGCTTAGCAAACAAGGAAAGTAACCGCCGAATATCGTCTCACAAAGATCCATCGCCTCCAATCCATACCCGGATGGAATATACCGTACTTTCACCTTCTCCTCATCCACATTCTCCATTCTTTCAACTGGTTTTGTCTCATTAGCATGGTCTGAGACAAACCCATCACCATCATCATCATCATCATCATCATCTTCTTCTTCTTCTTCTTCATCAATGGTCTGCATTGGTTTCGATTCTTTAACCGGAACTGAGGCAAACCCATTAATAACCTTATCTTTCTCATCAACTGGACCAAGAGGAACGCTTGCCAAAGCCGGTGACATTGTCGGATCAGCAGATGGACAAGGATAACACGTCTTGTCTGAAGGAGGAAGAGCCTCTCCATAAGTGGCACTGATATCGTATCCTCCACCATACGGCGTCGGATCATACTCTTCGAAATCGGTCTCGTTGAATTCGGAAACAGAGTACGAGATCCTAAACTCAGAAGGACTCTCAATCTCATACACGCTATAGCAATTGGGATCATATTCATACACGACATGTTTGGGCTCAGACAAGGTGAAGACAGAGTATCCAACAGACTCAGAGATTGTCTCAGAACCGTAATCGCAGTAGGAATAACTCATGGGAGAGAACCCAGAATAGTGATGATCGTAGAAAACGGAATCACCATAAGTGGAGGAAGATGGATAACTGTGATTGAAATCGGGATGGGTTTGATAATTCTCACCGGAAAAAGAATCCCAATTCGCCATTGAACTGATCTCAGCAAGCTCGAAAGAGGAACTGGAGTGGAGAGACGATGGATGAATCTGATCAAAGATAGCAACTTTTTTTTTTCTTGGTGGGGATTGAATTAGTCGGCGAAATCCTTCTTCTTCGGTGTGATGATGATGATGAGGTGAGTCATGTTATGTCAGTTGTCTTTGTCTACACGTGGGAAAAAAAATTACAAGTGGGAAGAAGAGATATTTGTGAATACGGTTTGATCAAACCGGACAAAACCAACCAAAAACCGAACCAAATGTAATGAAATCGGACACAAAACCAAACCGATAGAATTAATAGACCGAACCAAATTCAATTTGATTTTATATCAATAAAAATGTTGACATTTATCTTTATAGTAGACCTTTTTTTATCCCTGGAAATTTAGTTACATTAAAAGAATGAAAGTTTTTATGTAATTATCTTTATAATAGACCTTTTTTTTATTGGATTTATAACATTATTTTCTATGATTCCTGGGATATATTATATACATGGGGTCGTACCAACAAAAACTCTCATAAAAGAAAATGTTGTCATTTTTTACAAAACAAAAAAAAAATATTGTCACTTATGTGGGTGGGCTTTTTATATCCAATATTCCTTGCCTTTCGTTATCCGATTTGGAATATTGGAAGATTGATATTAAAGACGAGACACTAAAACGAATTTGGGTTCAGATTTTAATATTTTTTACGTATTATTTTACTGTTTCTGGATATTTAAAAAAATGATACTCAACTATAAAACTTTTATATAAATACCTCAATTTTTCAAAAAATTTACATAAATACTTAATATTTTTTAAAAATCAAATAAACCCAAAATTTGTTAGCGATCTTTACTATTTTTCTTTAAAAAATACATAACTTTATATATATCAATTTTTTTAAAATTTAAATATTTATTTATAATTTTTAAAAAATCATATATTTATATTAAAATTTTATAATTCATATATTTATTTGAGTTTTTAATAAAAATTTAGCTACTTATATGTTATTTTTATAAATAAAAAAAATCCTGATACTCAAATCATGTGTGAGAATATTGAAAATTTCATCTTCGTTTATTTTTATAAAGATCTTCGTTTAGAAAATTTGATATTCTTTTCAAGACTGAAATGAAACAGTTTTTTAATTATTTATTTCCTTGCGAAATTAGAAAATATCGATTTTTTCATTTGATCCTCCTTTACAAAAATTATATATATAGATTTATTAGTTTTGCTTTCATACGGCGTCGTTTCGTCTCAGTCCCCGAAGCAAGTGAAATATCTTATCCTCTGCAATCTGCAATGCAATTTCTCGTCCCAAATTCATCTGTATCCCCCCACTGAGTCCTCTCTGCAATGGCGAGCGTGGCTGCGTCTTCTTCATCCCTTCTCTCCAAACTTTTAATCCCTGTAAGTACTCTCCGTCATCGCCCAGCGTTCGCAGATCTCGGGCTTAGCTTCGCCGGCGGGTCATGGGCTCCTCCGCTCCGAAGCCTCGCCCCCGCCGTTACTCGGCCCCGGCGTCGGAACGCGGTTATCACGGCGGCTGCGGTGGATTCCGACTACTCCCCGAAACGTAGCAGCAGCGGCGAGCAGAGAGAGACGATAATGCTTCCTGGTTGCGATTACAATCACTGGCTTATCGTCATGGAGTTCCCCAAGGACCCGGCTCCGACCAGAGACCAGATGATTGAGACTTACCTCAACACTCTGGCCACTGTTCTTGGCAGGTTCGTTTCTATCTATGATTGGTTATATCGAGCTTTTGTAATGCTTGCAACGGAATAGGAGATGAAATAAAGAACTAAATCTCGTCAGATTAGGGTTTTCAGCTGGTTTCTGAATATGTAGGTAAAGGATATATCCAGTGGAAAGGTCTAGTGGGTGTTAATACTTGACAAGCTAGAACTTGTCTCATAAAGCTTTGAGCTTTGAATTCGATTCAAACTTCACCAAGTTCCAGGTTTTTTTCCTGGAACTTTACTCGGAAATGGAGGTTATAAACTTGTGAACTAGAACATGTAAGTGGATCTAACTCATAGCTGTATAAGCACTATCACATTCAGCTGAGAAGCTTCTTGACGAAAAGGGTTTGAACGATGACAATGAAACTCTGCTGAGGCATGTATATAGTGTAATGCTGTTTCATAGCGTATTCTTTGGTTCTTGTTAATATGTCTGGTTTTGTAACTTCGGATTCTAGCATGGAAGAGGCGAAGAAGAACATGTATGCATTCAGTACCACCACATACACCGGATTCCAGTGCACCGTCGATGAAGAGACATCAGAGAAGTTCAAAGGTAAGGGACTATGAGCAGAAAAACATGTTCTACTTAAGGAAACCTTATGTTTGTCTTTATATTTAGTCTCGAGTTACCGATACACACACTTAAAAACTTCTCAGGATTGCCTGGAGTTTTGTGGGTTTTGCCTGATTCCTACATTGATGTGAAGAACAAAGATTATGGAGGTACCGTACCATCTTTACTTAGACTTTACTCCAATGGTTTGTCTGAAGGCTTGCTTTGTTTGTATCTCTGTTCTGATCATCGGGCTGGTTTGGTTGGTTTAGGTGACAAATATGTCAATGGAGAGATAATCCCGTGCACTTATCCAACTTATCAACCAAAGCAGAGAAATAACTCAAAGTATCAAAGTAAAAGGTATGAGAGACGGAGAGACGGCCCACCTCCCGAGCAGAGGAAACCAAGACAAGCCTCGGCTGCTTCGGATTCCTCCTCTTAGCCGGTAAACGAAAATGTCATGAAATTGTTAGGGTTTTGATCTCTTTAGTAGTTAAGTCTTATTCGATGTTGGTTTGAATCATCTAGTGTTATCACCTTGGACACGAGACAAAGCACAAAAGGATCCATACATTCTATCTCCATGGACAAGTATCAGATATGGTTCCTATGTTTTTGGTATCCATTATTGGGCAACCATACTAGATATTAGTTTTAGTGACCTTCTACTATCTGTGTTGCTATGCCCTCGTTCCATAGATCCCAAACCTACAAGATTCAGAACATTTTTTATCATGAATATGCTGTGTGTTTCCTGGTGTTTCATAGATATGGAAATGTGTTTTACTCATTTGTCCGACCAAGTTGGAAGAAGGGTCTGGTCGCAGAAGCTGATGTTTTTCTTGCCGGTTATGATCTCTAACACTAATACTCCGAAGCTGTATACATCGTATTTCACTGAGAATTACCCGTCCCTTGCGTATTAGATAAGATGATGAAATGTCTTCAAGCATTAAACCTTTGTGAATATATGTCGGATTTAGATGTTCGGGATGTTCCGACGATATGATTCATGCTTCCTTCGATTTGGTCTGCCTCGAAGATCCTAGCCTTGCCAAAATCGGCGTGGTCAAGAAGAACACTGCTCGCCTTGAGATCTCTGTGGATGATTCTCAAATCTCGAATCTCGATGAAGATACAAGATTCGAGCTATCTTTCGGATTATCTCAACTCAACCCATTTCCGATAATCTTGCAAGATCTTCTTTCCCCATCTACACAGAGAAAAAATGTTACACAAAATCATAATCCAGCACCCCTATGAAGAAGTATGATCTGTAAATATACTGAAAATGGAATACTCCAAACACTAGTTTGGTTAGAACTCATCTCTACATTTTTTATCCTTTGATTCGAGATGAAAATCGAAAATCCTCACGAGATTTCGGTGTTGCAACTTCAATAGCAACTTCACCTTGTTCTTGAACTTTTCGATTCCTTGCCCCAAGAACCACGTTAACTTCTTTACCTCCATCTCTATTTTCTGCTTTTGTTTAGTTATATACAGCATGGTGGTGTTCATATGTTAAGATTCTTCAATACATTGATCCTTAGGGATCAGACCAAAACCTGATCCATGTCTTGTCCCTTTACGTTCCATTGTTGGGTTCATGTCTCGTTTATAATCATTCTTGTTATGATTGAAGGATCTGTCCGACAGAAACTTCACTCTGGTTATTCACAAACGTGATCTTGAAGATTAAATCTATTAGCTCCAACGGGTTTAGGCCGTTGAACAAAAACAACTATGGAAACCCATTCCGGATAATCCAGTGCGAGAAGTTTCCCAAACCAGGAGACTAGATGAGGATAGAACCCTATCCACACCATTTTTTTTCATTAAGCATAGGATTTGTAGGATGATCAAAACTCTTCCAGAAGACGTTTCCTGAGACGGGATCAAGCGGAAGATGTTGACTAAATCGGTAATCCGAGCAACTAGAGAGGGTCCTGAGACAGTATTTGAAACATTGGCCAGATTCTGTTTCAAAGCAGAGATTTCCTCTACTACTAAGTCTAATCACTCTTGATTAGCATTATAATAGGATGGTTTTTGGTTGCTCTCATATATAAACAAAAGCATATACCAAACTGACATATCTGACTTTCCCCATTCCGGTCGGGGCTGAAGAATCCAAAGGTGAATTCTTCCCTTTCAAAGGCTTTATTCTGATGATTGTGTTGTGTCATGCAATATATGATAAAGGGGAAGAGGATGAGAAGTATCATTCTCTGTAGATTCATATCATTTTGGTGTTTAGTGTTCCACAAACATTGAAGCAAAGCAGATGGTGTCTAGTGTTCTAGATACACCTTATTCATTTATTCTTTATTTTTATTACATCATTACAACAACCATTTACATAAACACATAGGTTTTTTTTATAATACATATTGAAGTAAGAAAGATCACGAGCCACTTTCTGTTCATACTTAGAGCTGAAAGGCCAAGTCATATATGTCCCCGGACTTCCATTTGTACGGAATAATATCAGTGGCTTGCTTCCATCCGGCCTTATCAACCAAGAACTTCACTGTCAAGGCTCCTTTCGGCGGGTTTGGCAAGTCGAAAACCGCACCATATGCTCTCCTCATCTTTATCCACTCTCCCCAGTCGTTCTATACACATAAAATATCAAATTTAGCCATATAATTATCAACATATTTACAATCTCATTTGCTGTAAAATATCTAACAAAGTACCTTGATTTGGAGAGCTAGGATGTCATTAGCACCGCCGACGTTGAGAAGAACGAGGGAAAGGTAGTCACGGAAGCGACTGTTCTCGTGAACCTTGAGGAGAATGTTCGAGTTAGGAAACTGGCAAGGGACCCTCTTGTACACGATATCGACCACGCCATAGGAGATGACTTTCTTCTCAGCTCCGGGACGAGCGAGTTTATTGAAAGCGAGTTTGTTCATGATGAAATCGGTACGATCTCCTTCTCCATAGTCGGAGACTGAAATGATCACACCCTTTGTGTTGCAGTACTGTGGAATCGTACATATCACCTGTAATGTTAACAATCTAAGTGTAAGTACGATGGATGAAACCCTAGGTTAATGTTAAATATAATTGTATGTTAATGAACGTGAGTGTGATGTTAACGAGATATGCTAATATTAATTAGTAAGAAGAATAGATGAAAACCCTGGGCTTTTATACTAAGCATATGAACCTGATAACAAGCTCCGCAACCAGTTCCATTACGCCAAAGCTTGGAAACAGCAGCCACTTTGGCATCGTTCATATTCCTCCCGAATTTGCCATAGCCACAAGCTCCACCTTCATATAACAAAATGATATATATATATATATTGAGAGAGAGAGAGAGAGAGAGAGAGAGAGAGAAATGTTTATATATGCGTAAATCATGCATTCTACGTATAGTATTTGGATCAATCCGTAGAAACCCTAAAGAAAAGATAGAGAGAGAAACGAATAGGAAGACACAATCATGTATACGAACTTACTTGTTGTCCCTTTCCCATCGGGAGTGCCATAGTAAGCAGCCCTCGAATGTATGAAGCCGCCGCCATGGGAGGACTGACACATTACGACAGGCAATACCACACAAACGAGGAGGAAATAAAACTTCTTCATACTGATGATTATAACTTATAATTTATATTCCCTTATCTTATAATACTGATTTTCCTTACGCTTAACGTTTACTATTGGAGGGATGAGAGGTGCGAGGGAAGTGAAACCATATTTATAGTGGAAGCCCCCTTGTAATAATATGATTAGGAAATTGCCTACCAATTCGATTTTTATTAAGTTGATGGATTTTGATAGCTGGAAAAAGGAAAAAAAAATGTTTGATGGGTTTGCAAGTCAACGTCTATCTACTTTGTAATACTTTCCTCTTGATTTTATTGTATAGAATGTTATAGTTCTACGGCGTAAATTTAGGTTCGCTTATAATATTTGTATCAAACTCGGTTTAAAATGTGATGCATGACTTTTCGTAATTTAAGTTGTTACATTTTGAATATTAAAAACAAAATTTTATATAGAAAATGAACATCTTTTCAATAGAAAGTGAACTGGAACTGTCATAACAACTGATTAAATATAATTTTGTATAAATTCTAATAAAAACTAAATATGAAAACAACGAAATCCCAAAATGTGCAAATAGGATTTGAACTCAAAGATTCTTCATCTAACATGTTGTTTTCGGCGCGAGACTGTGGACTACGGCATATACATATACATAGAAATACGTACCAAGAAAAGGAAAATAAATATTATCCGAATCATTAGTTTGGACCAAAAACATTTGTTTTCATGGCTGTTTGAAACTCAGCTCTCTGGTTCGGTCTTATTTAATATCCCAACTCTCTGGTTTGATAATAATAAAAAAAAATATCGGGAAAATTAATCACCGAGAATTTCTCATTGCACCAACGTGGTAACATGCAATCCACTCCATATCGTAAATTCTATATCTACCACAATATTTTATACTTATGGGTACAATTTGTAGCGACACTAACATATTAACAAAAAACCAATATATATATCATAAAAGTCGGTTTTATGAATTCGTGTTCTCCCGAGATTCGACTTTGAAGATCTTACTTTCGTAGAGGTTATATTAATAGAAAAAAATTATATAAATATTGTTAAGTTAAAACATTAATATACTAGTATGAACCACCCATGAACCAAATACATTTGATGAAGAGCTTCAAGAGAGAAAACTAATCTTTGAATACCTTAGACTCACAATCAGATTGCAAGTTGTTGATCACAGATTAGGTGTTGAAGACAAACATCTTCTTGAGGTATCCACACCTTGGAATGGATTCCAACACTTGGAATCAAGCTTGCTAGAGTATCAAATCTCTAGCTTGTGTATGGAGTTCAAGAACAATTCTTGATCTCTCTTTTTCTTGGAAGAGTTTACTCTCACTCTAGAACAACCCCATAGGTCTAAGAGTCGAGATCTGAATGAATAGGGTCGTATCCCACCTATTTCCTCCAAGAAAACACGTGAAAATCGCGAACAAGTGGTCTGCCGACGTCTGGTCCATTCGGTCCAGGTCCATACTGTTTGGACCAGAAGGTTTTTCTCCTGTTTTGCCGACAGTCCGAAAGAAGACGCAATCTGACCAGTCCAGTCCTGTACCGTTCTTGCTGGCCTTCTGAAACATAGTTCCACGTGTCATTAAATGACGTGTACGGACATCATTATGTCTGGATCGTTCGGTCCATCGAGTAGACCGGTCGTCCAGACCTACACAGTTTACAAAATGAGAACCGTGGCCGACTGAGTCAGACCGGACGGTCTAACCATTAGACCGGTCAGTCTGGCCCCTTGGAGAAATTCCAAATTTCTACGTTCCGACTTTACGAACACACACCTCCATCCCATATGTATGTGACCCTTTAGGCTCCTCCGAAACAGCAGTAAACCTGAGATCTAATCTCGTTTTACAAATCATAAGTTTCTTTGGCAAGACATTATTATTATCCGTATCAGATAGAGTTAGATGCGATCCAACCGAAAGCCAGTGAAAGCTCAAACGATGATCCTCTTTGTCACACGATATCATAAATTGAAACACATTTCGATTGCTTTGTCGTATCCCGAGTAGACTATAAGAAATAGATGACATTCATCTATAGTGCGGCCACACATTTCTATAGTCCTACTCCTAAGACGAGCCCAACGATATCTCTCTCTTTTGCGAGGGACAAAGTTTCATCTTGACTATCTACTATCCATTACATGACTCGTAATATACTTGAGTTACGTCGTTATAATCATCTGGTTAAAGACGACGTTTGACGTAGTCAAAGTATATTATTCCTCATGTCGGATACGGTAGACATCTCTGGACTAAAGATCCAAAGTGAACCATCAAAGTGAGATTCTAGTCATGGATAAATCCAAACGATAATCTTACGTGAGTCACTATGATCATCTATCATGCCTCATGTTAGTCTTGATTCATCATCGTTTCCACAATGACAAACGACTAAGGAATTTAGGATCGTTCATAACGATCCAAGGATTTTATTATTTATCAAATACTCAAAACAAATCATGAAAATATAATGCATTCATCCGATGAATCCATCACAACAGTATAAGCTCTCATATCGTACGATCATATCAAAGCACCAAATGCATCACCTAAGAAGCCAGGGGCAATGGAAGGACTTCTGACCCATTAGTTGTTGTAACACCATATACAAACTCATATCATGCTTACTCCCCAAGAAGCTAAAGTCGATCCTGCATGCTGTAATTTCGCCAAACCAAAGGGATTTTCTTAAGGGGAGACCAATGTTAGAAAACATTTTGTTGGCTACGGAACTTGTGCGCGAATACAATAGGCCTAGCGCAACTAAGCGGGCAATGCTCAAGCTTGATTTGAGAAAAGCGTTTGACTCGATTAGCTGGGAGTCCATTACTAGGATCCTTCGAGCCTTGCATCTACTTGAGACCTTTGTCAGATGGATCGTAACGTGTATGGAAACTCCAAAGTTTTTAGTGGCTACAAATGGAGAATTGACAGGCTATTTCAAGGGAAGGCGAGGCATTCAGCAAGGGGACCCCATCAACCCCTACCTCTTCATCCTTGCAATGGAAGTTTTATCTCGCATGCTG